AATTCGCTAACTTTCCTATGTTTCTATTAAATATTTTATAGTTTTATATTTAAGTCCATCATTCATTTCAAGTTAATTTTTGTACAATGCGTAAGACTTAATCAAGGCTCTCCCCCGCCCCGCCCTAGCCCCCATGGATATCCAGCTCTTTCAGCATAATTTGTTTAAAAAGTCTATCTAACTTTTATTGAATTATTTTGGTACATTTGTCAAAAATTAATTAGGCACATTTGTATAGGTCTATACATTAGTTTCAAATTGTTGCTGTATCTAATTACCACAAATTTAATGATTTAAAACAATACAAATTTCCTATTATATAGTTCTTACAATTCTATATAGGTCACAAATATGAAATGGGTTTTAATAGGCTAAAATCAAGGCTATATTTCTTCTAGATGCTCTAGTTTCTTTGCCTTTTCTAGCCTCTAAAAGCCACGTATATTTTTGGCTCATGGCCCCTTCTTTCATCTTCAAAGCCATCAAGGAATAGCATCTTCATATCCCCCTCTTACTCTGACCATTCATATCTCCTTTTTAGAAAGATCCCTGTAATTACATTGGTCTCTGAAGATTCTGAGCATTAGTATGTGAGATTCTATGGGTGGCCATTTTTCTGCCTATCACAGTCTGTTCTCTGCAGGCCAGTGATTCATAAAATAATTATGGGGTATGGCTAAGCATGTCTGAATTATACAGGGCGAAAAATGTCAGCGAAAGAAGATATAAGCAGACCTGAACCCAATTTCTGGTACCAAGATTGCTGCATTAGTTTTCTATTGCTGCATAACAAATTACTACAACTTAAAACATTATTCAGTTATTATCTCACAGTTTCTTCAGAGGACATCCATCATATTCAAGGTCCCACCTACACTCTAGGTAAAGGATTACACAAAGGTGTGACTACAAGAGAGCAAGACTTGTGGGAACATCCTAGAATTCTGTCTATCACAGAGTGCAGTGTACATTTTGAACAGAGAAATGAGCGCACACAAAAAGAGTGTGTTGAGTAAAAAAGAAGAGGCTATTTCGAGGACATAACTTTAAAGAGTACCTGCTTTTATAGGCTAAGCAGAGGGAAAGACTTTGTAGAGTGCCTAAAGTGAAGAGAAAACAAAACAAAACAATCAAGAGTTTCACAGTGGTAGACAAAGAAGGAAAGTGTTTCCTGGAGAGGGAAGGGGTCAGCCTTGTTAACAGGTATAGCTGGTATCTGCCTAAGAAAGAACAATTACTTATCTGAGAGGCTTCATCTGAGATCTTGACAAGGTCATATGCATTCGAGAGGTATTAGAGGCGCAGAAGCCAGATTGAAGACTGAGTGGTGAATGAAGTGGGGACAAAAATGTGTGGTCTGTTAACATGATAATTATTTCATAATAATTAATCTCTAAACTTTGAAATAATAGTTATTTTTTCAATTATCATTTTTAAAAAGTGAAACACAACACTATTCCTGCTAATTACTTTTAATTCAACCTGAAAATGTAACAGGTATATCTGTGCCTTGTAAAAGTTATGGGAAGTTATATTGCACAACAACTTTTCTGTAGTTTTTAATCAAGAGTTGCAGTCATTACAAGGGGAAAAAAAGTTGCAAAAATCCTAACATACACAAAAGTAAAAATACTCCTGTGCGTGCACACAGTACACCACTGTCATTTGGACAGTTTGCTTAAAAGCTGTGATTTCAGTAGAAGTTTAAACAGTAATCTAGATGTCTTTGCTATATGAGAGCACTTGTATCTGCATGTCAAATAATTTGGATTGATATAATATATCCCTCAGGTTAAGATTTAATGTAAGAATGATAATGGTTTATGCAAATTATTTTCTCTCTTGCATCTAGCTACTTAAAGAGTTTAAAGACGAAGATTGGAATATGGGCAATATAGTGCACACACTCACAAACAGACGCTACCTTGAAAAGTGCATTGCTTATGCAGAGAGTCATGATCAGGTAAATCAATATGATTATAAATTTATATTTCTGTTTGTATTAAAATATCTAAAAACATTTTTTATAATTTAATACAGTTAATATAACATATCTATCTATATCAATGTGAAATTTACTTATACTTGAATAACATTTTAAAATTATTTTATAGATCTAGAGATTCCAGCTTCAAAGTGCAGTGCTATTTTTATCCTGCCAAACTCTAATTAAAGATAGAGTAAATGACAGTTGCAAGTGTTATCTTACCCGTTTTCCCTGGTTGTGATGAAGTATTGGTTCTGTCCAGGTTCATTTTAACTCCCATTTTAGAATTCCTTCTAGAGGTTACTTTTGTGCCTTTGACAGGCTCTCATCTTTTTTAGTCAGTCACTAAAATCTGCTGCTAATTGATTACTGTCCCCTCAGCTTCACTCCATCTTTAATGCAATCTGAGGTATTTTGCAAAGAGGAAAGCTTATTTTGTCAACCCAGATCTTTTGAGTGAAGCCTGTCATTGAATCAGGGCCATGCATTATCCTGGCCTGAGCCAAAGTTTCTACCTTCATTTTCTGTTCAACTCTCTAAGCATTCTGTTCTTTAATACTGTAAAATTCTCACCCATTCCTGAATAAGTAACCCACATTCCAGTCTTGTACTTTCCCTCACATACCCGCAAATGCCTGTTTCACCTGTAAAAGCTCCTATAAAAGACCCAGTGCTCTGGCTCAGATATCATATTCTCCCTGAAGCATTCATCTATTTGTGTAGAGTAAGAATAGTTGTTCCATTCTCCATGTTCTCATGTTTTACGTAGAAAATTTGTTTTTATATCTTTGTATTTTCAGTACTGTGACTACTCCTACTAGGAACTCAGTAAACATAAATAAATGGGGGAAAGGTCAGTTAGTTAAAGCTATATTAATCCTCAGAAAAATAAACATAAAATGTGCTTTTTATACATTAAAAATGAGAGTAAAAAGTTTTGAATTATATGCAGTATATGTGCTAAGAAAATTGAAGCTCTGACAATAAGTTTTCTGTTATTTCAGCAGAAATTAACCATTTAAGGTAAACAGGTGGTTTTTCAGGTGTCTCTTCTATTAAGAAGGTATAAGTAGATGAGAAGTAAGCTACGAAGGCCCATGGGCCAAATTCCGCCTGCTTTCTGTTTTTGTAAAGTTAATTGGAACACAGCATGTTCATTCATTTTCATCTTGTATATGGTTGCTTTTCAGCCATAATGGCAGATTTAAGTAGTTGATACAAAGAACGTGTCACAGAATGCCTAAAGTATGTACTATTTGATCTTTATAGAAAGTTTGCTAACTCATATACTGGACATAATCTAAATTTGGCATTTTCCAAACCAGATTGCTGCTGACTTTTTCAAATTAAATTGGTCATAGAGCACATCATATAAATATGAAAAAAAAAAAAAAGAACCAAAATATAACAAAAAAGAAATAAATAATATTAATTTAAGGATGGAGGGGAACCACTCACCAAGCACATAACAATATGAAAACTAAAATACATACATAAATTATATCTTTCTACTGAAAACTCTTAGCAGTTGTAGCACATTTTGAGCTTTCAATGTATGCTAATTTTATATGAATGAATGAAATAATAAATAAATGAGTGGAATAAACAAATTTTAGATTAAACTGCTAGATTACTTTCATAATTTTCTTCTCAAATGTACAGAAGCATTATAGATTTACCAAGAATTATTTCATACTTTAAAGATTTAGGAAATTCTGCCTTGTACTACAAATTGTCAGAAATGTACAGAAAGATGCAAGTTGCCTTGTTCTTTCTAAAAGCAAATATACAAATCTGATAAAATAATAAATATGTATATTTATAAAGCAAATAATATAGAAATATTTGTCATAGTAAAAATCCAAGAGAAATTATCAAAATGATTTTACAACAGAATCAGAGATTATAGTAGTAAAAATATAATTAAACAATTCAAAACAAGTAGAAAGGACAAATCGTTTTAATAAATAGTGCTGTCTAATACAATTTAACAAATATATTTATATCTTATATGCATTATTTTCAAATGTTTTTTATCATTGTAGCCCATTTCCAAACTAAGCTTATATGAACTCCAAGTTATATGTCAGATTGAAGCTGCATTTTATTAGTACACGTATTAGTCTGCTAGGACTTTAATAATAAAATGCCACAGATAGAGTGTATTTCTTATAGTTTTGGAGGCTGAAAAGTATAAGATCAAGGGGTCAGCAGGTTTAGTTTTTCCTGAGGCCTCTCTCCTGGGCTTGCAGGTGGCCATCTTCTCTCTGTGTCCTCATGTGTTCTTTTTCTGTATACCTTCATCCCAACTGTCTTTTCCTCTTTATATAGGGACACCACTCATGAGGTTAGGACCCCACCCTATGACCTCATTTAACCTCAATTTCCTTTTTAAAGGCCCTGTTACCAAATATAGTCACATTATCAGTTAGGACTTCAACATGAATTGGAGGGTGGAGCACAATTCAGTCTAAAACAGTACACATTTTTTGGTATGTTTAGAGTTAAAATATTTACCTAAAAGTTAGAGAACAAAGACATTGCTTTGATAAAGTAAAAAACAAAACAAAACAAAATTGAGTTCATGTAATACACAATTATCATCTAATCAAACATAGAATTCTTGTGGCAAGAACCATATTCTGAGTTAATTCTTTCTTGGCATTCTGAGTCAATTCTTTCTTGGCTCTTGAAACTAAGGACAAGACCCACAAATGAGTAGATTTTCTTGTAACAGTATTTTAAAGACAAGTCATTTTAATCAAAATAGATTAGAGATTATAACAGATTTATAAGTAAAATGTTTTTTCTAAAATGAAAATAATTGCAATGGATAATGAGATCATAGTTTAATCTCAATTATATGTTTCACTATATGTATATATATATATATATATTTTTTTTCAATGAAGAACATTTTGCATTAGTTAGCAATTTTTAACCATGAATAATTCAGATTAAGAGGCCTCTCTTCTCCTACTCAGGGTGTTTCTGAGTTACCTGCCCCATTTATTAATATTATATTTTTATGTAAAACAAGCACATTTTAGATTAAATGGCAAACACAATGAGAAAGCAATATTTATGTTTTAAGAAAAAGTCATCAAGCCTCTGCTGAAGGAGAGGAGAGTCTATTTTAATATGTTTATATACATATTATATTATATATAAATACCTATACATATATAAATACATATAAATATGCATAAATATATACACATAAATATTTTTAGATATTCTTACATTCTTTCAAAACAAATAAATTCATGGTATGCAAAGTATTTTAACAATCCATGTAGTTTTCTTAACATTATAATAAATATTTATTACAATTTCAAAAAATTTAAAGCATCATTTCAGGTATAACAAATAGTTAAGAAACTTATATTTCCACCAAGCTCTTTTAAAAATAAAAATCAGTCATGAAAACAGAGGTGTTGATATTTAACTTCATTTACCAGCTCACCTTCAACATAGAAAGTAATTATTGGAAAACGCATGAAATTAGTACTGATTCACACACTTCTTCACCATGGTTTTCCATCATTTGTAACCATGCATTATTCTAGTGTAAATCACAGCTGTTTAGTACCTACTCTTTGCATTTATCTCAGTGACTTTTATTTCTATAGGCACTCGTTGGGGATAAGACACTGGCATTTTGGTTGATGGATGCTGAAATGTATACCAACATGAGTGTTTTATCCCCTTTTACTCCGGTTATTGATCGTGGAATACAGCTTCATAAAATGATTCGACTCATTACTCATGCACTTGGTGGAGAAGGCTACCTCAATTTCATGGGTAAGTATGAGTTTAACACATATCCAATCTATGTTTAAAATGTTAACTAATATTACATATGCATAAATCATGTAGAATATTTTGATTTGGCTGTTTAAGTTTAAAATAGAAAATTACAACTTTATGTTTTTAATATGCTATCATGTGTTAACTGCAAAAATTAAATTACTCCAAGATTGTTATACTAATACATAGATGATGCAAAAGTAGTCTATTAGCTGTTATTTTATTTTACTCAATATTGTTGACAAGTGTAGAGAACTGTTTTGAAAATTTTAAATTATTATTCTGAATTTAATTATTCTAAGTTTATTATTATAGTATTTGCACATTAAACATATGAAAGAGGTAATTGTTATGTCATACCATACTATGCTATTATTGCTTTTCTTTGAGATAATTATACATTAGTATATTTGTATTATAAATGCGAAAGTCATTGCCCAGGATGTTGTGATGGGTAAAGAATTATTTATTTTAAAAAATAGAAATGAACTAATACTGTTTTCTATTCTATTTGATTAACAATGACCATTTGAACATTCAAGTTTTAGGAGATTTTGCCGACTTTTAGGCTAGAGAGACAGAAAGACTGGTAAATGTATATGGGAGGCTGACTTACTTTTTCTACAGCAAAAGCCTTAGTACTTCAGATTAATTCATTTCCTTCTGGCAGTTTTAATAAGGAATCTCAGATTGGATTTTTAAAAGCTTCTAGCTTGAGGTTAGAAAGCCAAGCCCAACAAACTGTACACTGAATCTCACCTGCATGACTATACCTTCAAGTGCATTCCTCTTCTCTCTGGATCATCAAAATTTAATATTCCTAACCTGCTAGGAAGTGTGCTTCCTGACTTGAGAGGCTGCACCATGCCAGCCAAACACCAGGCCATATTTCCTGGGCAGACTTAGCAGATGTTCTATCTATAAGTGAAATCAGCCTCAGTTCCTTAAAATCTCTTCCCTAACTCAATGAGCATCACTCACAAATATGGCCATTCCAGTAAGGCCTTAGTTGTACAATTATTTTATTCAGTTATATTCTGATAAAAAAGGTAGAGTCTATGAACCTATGCTGATAATTATGTTGCCATGTAAAGTAAGGAGAACAGGGAGGTTAGTGAGAGATTTTTAAATGCTTTATTTCATTTACAAAAGTGGAGTTTATTAAGTTGTTACAGTCTGTAGATAGCTTAAGGAAAAAAGGAGGGGGGCTGCCTTAAATACTTAGAAACTAAAGCAATTTTCCAAAGAAACAAAATAAAATAAGACCTTTGAGTTCATGCAGTCAGTCCTGTATAATTAATTCTTGAAGCCCACTACATCTGAAAGTTCTAGAAATCCCGACGGTCTATTGCTTTAGTCTGGAAGTCGTGAAAAATGATTAAATATACAACTACTCTGATAAACTTAAAACTCAGAAATCTAAACCAAATAGTCGAGAGTGTCAATAGTTTGAAGTACCTAATAGACTCCTTTTCTTGAGACTGTCCTTTTTTGTTGAGCACAGTTCTGGCCTGTAGCACATAATAGAGGCTCCAGGCAAGCATCAGAGTAAAACAAAACTATTTGCAGGTGAGAGACTTAATGGCCATAGTTAGTTTAATATCTATAACTTTCATACAAGAAAGGTCTGATGAAAGTTCATAATAAGAACTATTTCCTGAGTCTTGGTCAGTATTTTCCTTGGGGATATAAACAGATCATGGGCAGCTAGGATATTGACAGTTCTCCAGGAACTCCATAAACCCCGTGAAATATTTATCTTACTATTACATTAACTGTATATTCAACCTAGGCCAGGCTGAACTTCTCTTCTGTTTTGGAAACTCTTCCCATGGAACTTTTATTAGTAACACAATAAACATTTCTTACATCTCTTTCTATAAGGTCTATAAATTGCCCATATTTGTGGTATCACATATAATTTTGAGGTTATTCTTTGATATAGGACTCAGATTTTTTGAAGTTTATTCTACCTTTTGTTCTTGAAACAAATGGCTTCTAAATGTTTAACTCCAACATAGCATCTTTTTTTTTTTTTTAATTTTCTTCTATCATAGTTTCTTACATAAATCTTGCATTTCTCTACAAACTTTAAAATTAAAAATCTCCAAATGGCTCTAATTTCTGATTATTGATGTTTTATGAAATTTTATATTTCCTCATGAGCTATCATGAATTTAAATATATGTGTATTTTAAATATATATATGATAAATATATATATTTTTTTTTTCATTTTCTGATCATGTCACTGTTCTGCTTAATGGCTTCAATGATTATAGTGTCCTCCAACTGACCTGTAAGCCTGAATAGTCCCCCATGGGTCTCACTGTTAATCACTCTGCTCCAACCAAGCAAGCCTTCTTTCAGTTCACTGAATGTACCAACCTCTTTCCACTCTGAACTCTGTACATTTTGTTGTTCTCCCTCCTGGAATTGTCCCACTCAAACACTCCTTTGCTTACCTTATCAAATCCTTTATCTACAAGTCCACTTAGGAAGGCCTTTCCTAAAGCCTCAAACTGTACTGGTTTTCCTAGTGTATATTTTTTATAGTACTATATATTTACCTACCATGGCACTTAACAAAATTACATTTGAAAAACTATTAAATGTATGATTCCCTTGATAAAATTAAAACTCAGTGAAAATAGAGGTCATCTGTATCTTATTTACTATTATATCTCCAGGAACGAGTTGCAACTAGCACAGTAATATATAGCATATCACAAGGCTTTCACATTTTTCTGAAAAAAAGATATCAAATTTATATATAGATATATAATTTTTCAAGTGGCATGTAAGAAATTAATATTTTAAAAGATCAATTTAAGAAATTCTTCAAATGAGGAGCAATCTGTCTGTTTACTCATGTTTTAGGCAGTTTTAAACTTTGTTAACTTTCTGGAATTTTAATTTTATTTCACTCTAGTAGAGAAAGAGTTAAAAGAAATACTAAAATAGCGCATATTTGTTGTTTTTTAAATAAACTGTGTTTATATAAATTTGTCAGGAATTTAAGTATGTGTTCTATTATCAAAAATCATAAGGACAAGTAATGGATTTTCTCAGAATTAAAACAGTTTGGCTGATTTGTTTTGTTTTGTTGTTTTTGTTTTATATACTCCTAGTTTTGAGTTTCAAAAAAATTATTTGAAAGAAGAACATTTGCTATTATTTCTTTTTTATTTTCTAGATTATTTTAATTGGTAATGAATAAATAAATTTATATTTTTTACTCTTCTCTCATAGTCATTATGAAAGAGTTAAATAGAGAAGAAGGAAGCAGGGATGGCTAAATTATTTTTATATTTTTATATCACTGATCATGAGAGTTTATTTATATTGACATAGCACTATACTATGTCTTAGTTCAAAAGAAACCTGGATTGAAAGTTAGAAGAGTACTAAAATGTGCTAGGTAGATGTTCCCAGTCCCATTTTGCTAAAATTTCAACTAGGAGAGGCAAAGGGACATGGCTAACTTTGCACAACTGGAAAATGACAGCAGCTGATTGGTTGTCTTTTTCTTCTGACTTCCAATTTGAGAAATTAGACAAAAATTATTCTTAGATCAATATGCAAATTAGCCATCAAAATGTAACTAATGAATATCTTTTAGGGAAAATGTGGAGCATAGTGGTTAAGAAAACTGAGTGGGAATCTAAGTTTTCTAGTTATGTGACTGGGGACAAGATGACTCATTATTTGTACTTTCATATGCTCAGTGGTAAAATGGAGTAATGCCTGTCTCAGAGGGTTGTTTTGAAGGTGAAAGGATTAATACATATATAATACTCAAACTAGTGCTAGGCACATAGCTTATAGTTAACTTTTATTTAAATATAAGTTTGATTTTAAATTAAATTTACTATTACTATTTTAATACTATTTATTACTATTACTGTATTTAATACTATGTTATTCCACTACATATATGGTTTCTGAATGCTGACTTTCCAATCCCATCCAAGAGTGTTTCTTTAGAATCTTGTCTGATGGTGCATTGTTTAACATAAAAGTTTCTTGAAATATTTAATTTAGTTCCACTTAAAAATATGAGAAAGGTAAAAGCTATATGGTAAAAATCAAATGACATTTTCCCAGTTTATATTACGTGGTAAATTAAGTAATATTTTCAGTCAATCTCAGTACAAGTAAATATTATTTTTTTGTGTCTGTTTAATTCATAATATTTGCTGAATGTTGCTATGAAAACACCTTACTTATCTTTCACGTATGAGGAGGTCTGAGATTTGCCTCAACTAGTTTTCATTTCTAGGATGAGCCAATATCATATTGATCAGTTAGTTTTATTATGTATTATATGGTGTCTGTGCATGAATCTGTGTGACCATTGAATAGAACTTAATATGTTTTTCTGGCATACCTGTGCACAGAATTGAGAAAGAGAGAGAGAAGACAGATTGATTTAAGGCAAGTTTAATTTAAAAAGTTAGTGAATTTGAGATATATATTAATTTAAATTATAAATTTAATAAATTCATAACATGTTCCAGAATGTGTTTTAACACAATCTATAAAATTCCTTCATGCTTCAGACATTTATATGTATCTACTATGTACCAGGTATTGCTAAGTGGTGGATATTCTAAGGGGAAAATAGTTATTGTCCTCAAGCTTCCAAAACCCAAAAAGAAGTACAGACAAGTAAGCAGACAAGTATCTTTATATTACTACATGCACTAGATGCAGTGAAAGGGGATCAGCAGAGAATGTCATGTCAGTATGTAGAAACTAGGTTAGGAGACTGTTGGTGAAATTTATGAGCTGTTTCGAGCAGTCAAACAGAATAGAAAGGCACAAGAAAGCCATGCAACAAAATCAGTAAAAGTTTAAGTAGGAGCAAGACTGAAGCAGTGGAGTGAGATTAAAGTCAGTTGGGAATATTAAACTTCAAATATTAAACCTCTAAAAAACTGGGGCCTAAGGAAATCAATTTAGAGATCATCCGTTGATTGGCAAGTTTAATGA